AGCGCGATTTTTTGGTCAACATTTTCCAAAAAGTGCCTAAAAACACCAAAAATTGCCTAAAAAATTGATCAAAATGAGGTCTTCATTAGGATTCGGCAGAGCTCAGAAAATCAATTTGGTCGACAACATTTTTGAAATTTTTTGAAAAAATTTCTAGATCCGCGCCTGCCTTCGCGATGAGCTGCGATTTCAAATGGCGTCTTCAAATTTAGTTTTTCATGCAATGAGGCACGTCAACAACTTCAAAGTTAAATGGATTTAAATCATTGTTTCATTTTTTTCTTCCGGAGCAAAAGTATCTTTATCTTGACTTGTATTTTTCTACACTCAAAACTGTCTGATAACTAAGTCTGAAAAAATGGTGGATAATTAAATAAGAGTTACGCAGACGAATATAAAAGACTAAAATCCTTTGATGAGATATAAAATTCCAGAGGAAAAGAACTGAATGTGTATCTTTTTTGTTTTATGTCAAGTTTGATGTAACTGCATTCAAATCATTGTTGTCTACTAAGTCCGCAGGGTACAATCGCTATTTTTCAGGATTCTTTTGTTTTTATTGAATCATCTTCAGCCGGTTAACATGTTTTTACCAGAGGCGCCATGCAGCCATCATATAAGTGGAAAAAGTGAGCATTAAACAGAAAAATCTCCATTGTTTTTTGCATGGTTTCAACTAAATTTTACCGAACTTCTTTGAGCAGCTCTAAATCTAATTTTTATTGATAATAGATCTTCAAAAATGAAATGCTTCCTTAAAAAGTTTGGGTAATTTGAACCTTGTCTCAAATTGAGGTCAAAATCTGACTGAGAATAACAAGTAGAAAAAAGATTTCGAATTTGCGCCCCATCGGCTGGTAGAATCAACTGAACAGTTTATTGCAATTGCACTGTTTGAGCAGCTTCTCCTGCAATCGACAGGTGACGGGGCCTTTGCGGAAGAAGGCGCCCCCAAGCTATTAGCCTGTACATTAGTAGAATGAGTTAGCTGTCACTTAGTGTCCCACATTTTGTCACTTAGGTGACCCGCAAATCAATTTTTCCCGCATCACCTCACATCCAAGGCTTTCATCTGGTTCAATCTCATTCAATGTCCCCAAGGCTATTCTAAATATTTGTATGAGGCTTGTCTGCACCTTGAGTAGCTTTCATAAAATTCTCAAACAAAGATCAGGAAAACTTTGTAGTTTTCAACAGGGCGTTCATTTGACAATAGAAACTCACTGCTGTCCGGTTAAACTTTTTTTGCAGTCAGGCTAAATTGGTAAATGGGAAAAAGAATGCTTAAAACATAGTTCAATTATTAAAATGAACAAAATCTGCGTTGGAACGAAATCTGGTTCGCACCATTGTTCTACCATATTTTGAATTTGACTCCCTGAACTCCCTGAATTTTTATAACGCTTTCAATCAATTTCCGTAAAATTGATTTGAATTGAAAGTTGCTGAACAGCGCTAATTCATGAGTGATTGCCAATGTGCGCTCGCTATTGACTTCACTAAGTGATAATTCAAATCAAAGGCGGATCGAGGATTTTCTTGAGGGGGGGGGGGTTAAACAAATGAAACTACTGTCGATCTTTTTAGGTGGACCAAACTGATGTTCTGAGTTATCCTCCGGAATCACTATAAAAACCCTATTTTGAGCAAATAATCCACGCCGCAGGCAAAGTTTTGAAGAAACAGGCCAAATGAGCTTTTTAGGCCTTTTTTGGAAAATTTTGACCAAACTTTTTTTGGCCCGCTCCCCCTTAAAATTGGTACATATTGAAAATTGGCACCAACGGCGCTTTCAGAAAATAGAGGGGGGGGGGGGGTGGCGGACGGAATTTGACCCCTGCTAAATAAAGGGTTCCCCCCTTTGTACTATTTTGAGTTATCCATTTTTGGTGACGGACCCCAATTTTTTTTAAAGGCACCTTTGGCGCCAATATATACTAATTTTAACAGGGAGCGCGATTTTCCAAAAATTTTCCTAAAAGTGTTTAAAAGCGCCTTTCATAATAAATTTAACGCCTTTTAAACGCCTTACAATTTGTCACGTCTGCTTTTTAAAAATTTTTGATATAATTTTTGGCTAAGGAATTAAAAATAGGTTGAAAAAAAATGTTTTATTTTTTTTTCAACTTTTATTATAACTTTTCCCAAAATGGATTGCAAAGGTCAAACTGATAAATTTTGCGTCCAGTACCGCAATATATGGGTCAACTCAGTTGCCTTAGTTTGATTAAGCTAATTTTTTGGACTGGATTAATTCGTCGCACACGCGTAACGCTAATAAAATTTGGAAAATTTACGCGGCTTAATTAACCTGAAGCATCAAATTTCGTCTTTTCAGTTGGTAGAAAAATCAAAAGTGTTTGAGGAAAATCACGCGGAGCTTTTTTAAATCCGTTATTTTACCTTCAATTACCTAATAGTTTTGAGTTGAAAAAAATTGTAGAAGAAAAAATCGGGAAGAGCTTATTAGAAATGTTTTCGAAACAAAAAAAGCTATTTTTAAGCAATTAAAGCATCAGTGAAATGTTAACAGATTTTTCTCAAGTCGTGTTTATTGCTCAATTATATACATTGTCTTCAGGCAAAAAAAAATACAAAATTTCATTGTAAATAACACTTAAATAACCTCACAACTGCCTAGCAGATCATCAATGTTTCTACGGAGCTACCAATATATCACCCAATCAGCTAATTGCGTAGCTAATCACAAGCAATGGTTTCAATCTGACTGATGATCACGAATAAACAAAAAGCAATGAGGTTCAGATTGTGCACGAAACTTAAATTAAATCTTTTTATGATAACGCAAGGACTCAAATTATATCTTTTATGATACCGCAAGGCTGAAGCTCATGCTCAGTTTATGTGTTCTCTGAAAGAGTAGCAATCAAAAGACTATACAATGTAGCTAATCGTATCAAACTTGTTACTATATTTCCATATCTGGGGCGATAAATTGATCAAAAACCAAAAAATGCACGCAAACTTTTCAACCTTCTACTACAAGTGATAAATGGAGATTTTTGTTCAATTATTTCCGAAAGTTATTTTACAAAGAGGCGATGCACCATTTGCGATACCTTACAAACAGAAATGCAGGCTATCAATAGAAAATGTTCAAAATTGAGTCTGTAATGATGTTCTATTGAAGGTAAACACGTTCGTAAACAAAATAGCCGGCGTTAAAATCGTCTTAAGAACATCGAGCAGAAATTAAGCTGCAAACACTGGATAAAATCTTGTTCGACCGAAAACAAAAAAAACTTATAAAAACTCTAAATTTCTCAGTTTTTACCTTCGGGAAACATACCAAAGAATATGAAAAGTTCCTTTCTCAAACGGCACGAAAATCCGAAGAAACATAGTGTAAACAATTGAGAAAAAAAGAAAAATAAAAGGTAAAAATGAGATTCAGTTCATTTACAAAACACAAGAAACGTTTACAAATATTGTAGTTACCATGAAAATTGCTCACAGCACAAAAAATCCGTGATGTTGCAAATGAGCCGACACTAAATGGACAAACAAAGGGCGACATTTCTGAACTGAAATTTTCACGTTGAACAAAATTGGTCCTGGCCAGACTCAAATCTTAACCTTTGCCATCCCAGGTGTAGTCGTAAGAATGCCCTAGAAGCTACTATGTTTGATTTTTTTTGTAAGCCAAGCTATTAAAGACTCAACTGACTTGGTTAAGCAAGTTTTTAACCGGAAAAAAGTCTAAATTCCTGTTTGATATCGCTTGCTTATTGTAAGTGGAATGATGAAAGGTCATTTAAAAAGCAACATTACGAGGCCAAACTGTGCATTCTGTGCATTGTAAGCGGATTCCACGACAGGCCAAAATCAGATGTGTCGCGGAATCCGCAAGATTGCTACTGTTCTTGATCTTCTCTGCTGTTTTGGATTCCACAAACAAATACCTAAAACATTGAATCCAGGAACATACAGACACAAAATTCTGCGCCTATCCAGTGCACAGTTTGGACTCTTAATGAAAGAAAATTTTATTTTGGAAAGGTGACGGTGGTCAAAACATTCTGTGCTACTGATTAGTTTTCTAAAGTTTGTCATCAAGTTAAAGCAACGTCGTTAATCAATAATTTTATCCACAAAAATTTTGGTCAGATCCTAGTTGCTCGAGAGCATTTGAAAAGGAGAGATTTTTTCGTTGCTTTAAAAGACTGGCGTCTATGTCACATATGATCCAGATGTCATAAGTCTTAAGTTGTGAAGAATGAACCTAATTCCATGTAGTTTTAAAATTTACGGCCACTTGAAAAGTGACATATGGGAATACTTTATGATCTTTCAATACTCTATCCCAGCACGGTAGCAGGTCGAAATTTCTGCTCAAAAGTACTCTCAACCTAATTCAGGCAAAAGAAAACAGGGTCAAATAGTTGCTGCCTACAATACTCTCAACCATTTCAATCAAGTAGTTTAGTTTACGACTTTGTTTAGAGATAGCTTTTGGATCACACTGGACTGGGCCGTGGTACTAGTAGTATATTTTTTATTAAAAAATATCCAGCCATAAGTCTTTTATTGAATTGAATTACTGCTGCGCTCGGGTAAATTGGTTGCAGACGATGTTAAATTAACATTTTATTTCCTGTACAGTGAAAGTGAGGAATTTTATGATGAAATATGTTGTTAAAATAAATGAATGCGTTTGCAAAAAAGCTAACTTTCAGTTCGAAGGCAAGTACAAAAGATGTACTAGTCAGTGTTTTTCCTCCAGCAGATTTCTGGGCTCGAATTGCGCGATAAAACGGTAAAAAGGCGAACTTGAAGCTAATTCCATTTTTGAAGGGTTCATTAAAATGGTTTTAAATTTACCAAGTTCAATTATTGCGACCTGGTTAGCTTCCTCAAGCATTGTCCAAACATTTCATTAGAAGCAAGGAAAGAAAGATTTCAATATGCACTTGTGTCTTTCAGGCCCAAGTGCATATATTGAATTATAAAAATTTTATTCACAAGTTTAATTGTTTTAGGTTGTGAACTACATTACGGTCATGTGCATCATAATATCAATTTGTACCTTCTGCGCCGGAACACACCCGCTATTCATCGATGACTCAAACTCAACAGAAACATCCAACCAAACAAACTACACTGATACTTCCGGGAGGTCATCATCACGTCTGGAAGAGCCGATGCGTATTTCAAATCGGTATTTGATGTACTTGGAATGTATTTGTAATGCGTGGTTTACATTCGAGCTTGTCGTTCGCTTTATAGTCTGTCCCACCAAAGCGAGATTTGTCCGAGAAGGCGTGAACATAATTGATTTTCTCGCGACCTTCAATTTCTATGTAGGATTAATGCAATTTATCGAGCAAGAGATTCTGGATTTGTTATCGATAGTTCGCATTTTCCGAATATTCAAACTGACTAGACATCATCCAGGATTGAAGATTTTACAGCTGACCTTGAAAGCTTCGGCGGGCGAACTTCTGCTGCTGATTTTGTTCCTCATTTTTGGAGTCGTCATTTTCAGTGCCATGGTTTACTTTGCCGAAAAGATAAACATGCCGGATCGTGATAGGGTATCCTTTTCCTTTTAATTTTCTTTTAAAAGAATTTCTTTTATTTTTCTTTTAAAAAAATCATCTGGAAAAACTGAGAAAAATATGTATTAGTCCAAAAGCATATTGAGCTTTTATTCAAAACTGACCTTTTATTTAAAGGTTTAACCATTGCATTGAATCATATAAATTAAAATAAACAAACCGAGAAGTTTGAACGTTCTTGTTAAAACTCAAACCTTTTCTTATAACTTTCTGTCCCATATACATTTATCTTGAAGCTTTAGAGATGATTAAAGGTTGTTTTTTATTACAGAAGTGTCGTGCAGAGGATGAGCCGTTTGACCCCGACAAACCCCTGGAACTGTGTGTGAAGATACTGAGTATAATTGACTGGTTCTGGTGGAGCGTGGTAACCATGACGACCGTAGGATATGGAGACATGGTCCCTAAAACCTATTCAGGTACTATTTCATTCAAATCGGACCATAAATTAAAAAGCTTCGGTGTTTATTTTTTTCGAATAATCAAAGTATGAAACGTTTTCTATATGTTAAATTAATTTGCTCAAAATTGAGAAAAATTTGCTCAAAATTGCTGAAATTTACACAAACTTTGCACAAGCTTAATCAGGCTCTATGAGGAAAGGTGAAAATTAATGGAAACGAACAAATTACTGGTCAAACAAGTTAATTGAACTAGGACTAATTATGTGAAATAATACAAGTCAAACCCCAAAACCGCTGGAGGTATTCGCATGGTTGCTGTGCATTGTTAAATTAATTCATTTTTTGTTGCAATTTTTGACGAAAGTGACGGAATGTTTTTGCTTATGATGATTTTTTGAAAGATGCATAAAAAAAGCATATAGATAGAACAAGACTGCTCGTATCAGGGCGAAGCCCTGAATGTTCCGCTTGCCTTTTAGGGTTTTTGGAGCAGTAATAACATTAAATGTAAAAAAAAATAAAACAAAAAAAAATTTTCTAAAATTTGAAACTTTTTATGAAAATCATCCCCCCACACGCCATACGAAGTACAAAAGGATAGATTTTGCTCCTTGTAACAAACCAATTTTTTGCCAATAAGCTTCTTTTAACCAATTTGGAACGATTTCTAAGACGGATTAACTCTCCGCTTACGCGTTAATAGCGCGAAATATATCGCGCGTTAATTGTCCCAAATTGGCCAAAATGGCAATCTTTAAACCACCATAATTTTACGAAAAATTTACTAAAATTTACACAAACTTTGCACAAGCTTAATCAGGCTCTATGAGGAAAGGTGAAAATTAATGGAAACGAACAAATTACTGGTCAAACAAGTTAATTGAACTAGGACTAATTATGTGAAATAATACAAGTCAAACCCCAAAACCGCTGGAGGTATTCGCATGGTTGCTGTGCATTGTTAAATTAATTCATTTTTGTTGCAATTTTTGACGAAAGTGACGGAACGTTTTTGCTTATGATGATTTTTTGAAAGATCCATAAAAAAGGCATATAGATAGAACAAGACTGTTCGTATCAGGGCGAAGCCCTGAATGTTCCGCTTGCCTTTTAGGGTTTTTGGAGCAGTAATAACATTAAATGTTAAAAAAAATAAAACAAAAAAAATTTTTCTAAAATTTGAAACTTTTTATGAAAATCATCCCCCCACACGCCATACGAAGTACAAAAAGATAGATTTTGCTCCTTGTAACAAACCAATTTTTTGCCAATAAGCTTCTTTTAACCAATTTGGAAGGATTTCTAAGACGGATTAACTCTCCGCTTACGCGTTAATAGCGCGAAATATATCGCGCGTTAATTGTCCCAAATTGGCCAAAATGGCAATCTTTAAACCCCCATAACTTTACAAAAAATGATCACAGGTGAAATATTTTTTCAAATTTGAGCTCAAGACAACAATACCTTTCGAATGACATAAAAAAGTCCGTCAAAAATGGCTAGTTAAAAAGTTGAATTTTGTCTGAAGAAAAAAAAATCCCACCCCGAGCACAAATATTCCATTACTTTCGTATCGAAAGTCGGAACAACAACATAAATTCTAGCTAGCATTCAAAAATAGATAACAATTCAACTAGCAAGCTGTCTATAAACGGTTCGAAAAATTTTTCTCAGCAAGCCATTCAAGCTATTAAAATTATATGCATGAAGCTATTGAAATTAACTGCTTAAACCATCTTATTTGAGCAAGTTGACACTCTGATGAAACTTTGAAAAATTTCAAATCAAGTCACTTTCTGCAGCAAAATCGTTTGCAAAGATTTTCCTAAAGCAACTTTTCAAGCAATGAAACTTTAACTTTTTTAACTTTTTTTTTCGCAGTACGAATCAGTTTGCATATTCTTAGTTTTTTCGGGCAAGCTATTCAACGTTTGATTTTCAAAAACTTTTCAAGTCATTTCATAGAGCAAATTAGTTTGCCACAGTATAAGTCTTTGGTTCCCAAGCTTATCACCCCGTGTTTTGTAACCCCCTTTTTCTTAACCCCCTCTCATATAACCCCAAAATCGTTGTTGTCTTGTTTTTTCGTTAAAGGTCATACTCGTGGCCTGATACCACTAGCATTTGTTTGTCTTTCGAAGATAAAGTAAAATGGAATGATGCTTCAAACATTATATCTGATCTGATAGAGTGAAATGCCTAAATTGCTTGCCTAAAAAGACTTGGTGTCCCACTCTTTAACCCTACGATATTTAACCCCCTCTGTTTACACCCCCTATATCATAACCACGTAACATGATAACCCCACAACAATTTAACCCCCTTTTAATGACGATAATTTGTGTCAAATTCAGTCCTTTTTATAAGTACAGGAGTAGTCCAATTAAGCTTACTAATTGAGGCCTGAAAAGCTAGTCTTAATTCACTTGGTTAAAGAAATAGGCAGTATGATTTTTTATAAAACTCACAAACGTCTTTTGTTGCCTTCAATTAGCACCATGTAGGTTATCTCTGTTTTAAACGCGTGAGTGAGGGATTATTTCGAAATGCAATTGTTTTTGGGATGCTAGAGGAATCAAGTGAATTAAGACTAGCTTTTCAGGCCTCAATTAGTAAGCTTAATTGGACTACTCCTGTACTTATAAAAAGGACTGAATTTGACACAAATTATCGTCATTAAAAGGGGGTTAAATTGTTGTGGGGTTATCATGTTACGTGGTTATGATATAGGGGGTGTAAACAGAGGGGGTTAAATATCGTAGGGTTAAAGAGTGGGACACCAAGTCTTTTTAGGCAAGCAATTTAGGCATTTCAATTTTAAAATAACTCATGATAATTTATAGAAAGAATTGCCAATCGAAGCCGGTGTTTCGCAAAAATTTAAGATATTTTGAGCAAACTGTTCAATTTTCAATTGGCAAAATTTTTAAACTTTTCAATTCAATTCCTGGACCAAATTTGTTCGTCAATTTTTGATTTTTTTTTCAGCAAGCTATCCAAGCGATGAAACGTTGAAATATTTTAATTTTTTTCCTACAACTAATCAGTTTGCAAAAATTTTAGTTTTTTTAAGCAAGCTGTTCAATCGATGAATTTTTGAATCTTAAGTTCATTGTGCTACAAAATCGAAAAAAAAATTAGCTACGCTCAGCCAAATATTTGCCATTAACTTGCAGTAACTTTAATTCGGTGCATTCAGCTTAGTGCGCGTGAATCAAGGTTTGCTTCAATTTAGTTTTTCGACTATTCAAATATGTGGCTGTTTGGGCGGTCACGTAACTGAGTAACATTTGTTTCATTTCAAAGTTAATTGTCGCTGGCTTATCCAAATTGGGAAGGAAAGGTGTAATACTTGCCCTTCGAATTTTTTCTTTGGTAAATTCTCAATTTGCTACTTAGCCAAATTTGAACGGAACTTTGTATACAGTGCTGATTTAAATTAACCGGACAAAACGCGTTAAACTTGAAATTTAAAACGCGTTTTCCTCAAATTGGGTTGAGTTTAGGTGAAAACTTATGAAGATAAAACTTGCTTAAAATTTGAGCAGAATTAATATGGTGTAGTTTGTTTTGCGAAATTCGGGCCAAAAATTTTACCGCAAAAATGGGTCATTTTGGCTTTCATAAGTTAATCAAAAAATACGCCAAAAATACCCAGTCGATCATAGGCATATGTATATCAAAGTCAGCCCCTTACGTAGCCCAACAAACTTTAAGAAGGGTATATTCTCCAAAACATTGTATAAGTTGATTTATTTTTGTTTGATAGACAAAAAAGGTCGTTTTTACTATATAAAATATCAACTTTTTATTTAAAAACAATTTTTAAACGGTTTGCAATTTTTTTGGAGAGTATACCCTTCTTAAAGTTTGTTGGGCTACGTGAGGGGCTCACTTTGATATATATATATATATATATATATGCATGTGATCAACTCCTTATTTTTGGCGTAATTTGTGATTAACTAAGGAAAGCCAAAATGACCCATTTTGGCGGTAAAATTTTTGGCCCGATTTTTGCAAAATAAATTACACCATATTAATTCTGCTAAATTTTTAAGCAAGTTTTATCTTCATAAGTTTTCACCTAAACTCAACCCAATTTGAGAAAAACGCGTTTTAAATTTCAAGTTTAGCTCATTTTGTCCTGTTAATTTAAATCAGCACTGTACCATTTGAACATTTTTCTACGTCTTGAGCTCAAACTGATAAATGAATCTTGTCTGTGATCTTTTTTTTGTAAAATTTTGGGGACTTATAAACATCAATTTGGGATAATAACCCGCGATACATTTCTGCCATGAACGCGTAAGCGGCAACTCAGTCCGGCTCAAAAACCTTTCCAAATTAAAAATGGCTAGCTATTTGGTCTCCGTAATACGTTGCTAGACTCTCATTGCATCATTTTGTATTCTTTGTATTCTTCGTGTTCTGCGTATCCCATAAGCTTTTCATCTATCAAACCAGTTTTCTGAGCTCTCCCCAAGCGCTATAAAGATAATGTTGTTAGAAAAATGGTTGCGCCGTAGGCAATTGTACATTTTTTGACCAAAAAGAAGGCATTTGACCCTGCGCAATATATTCTCTCAAAATTAGTGTATTTGGACCAGAGGCGCCTTTAATAGCATTTTGGTCAGCAAAAAATGATTGTTGTGCAATAATACCAAAATGAGACCTTGAAGGCGGTGAGGTGAGTAGGTCGCATTCCTGAAAAATGAGAAGCGCTCGCCAACACTTTCCCCCTTAAATTCGCTACTGTTAGCAATGTTAATTCTGTTCTTGGTTTTCGTGAATTGGAAATGTGGGACATTGAAGAAAAAAGAGCCGGCAATTTTTCAGGAATGTTGGTGGGTATGCTGTGTGCTCTGGCGGGTGTGTTGACAACCTCCCTGCCCATCCCAGTCATAGTGAGCAACTTCACCATCTTCTACCAACACATGGAGGCCAGGAAGAAGCTGCCCAAGAACATCAAGCGCAAAATAGCCCCTGCCACAATGCCGTTGAAGGGCAAGACGCACGAGAAGCTAGAACAGGTCAAGCAGCGGGGAAGAAGACGTGAGTAGTTGGTTCTATCCCTTTTTAGGTGCTTTTGTTTCACTTTTACATCATTTTTATTGTTCTTTTGGTTATTTTTCGTTCATGGTTTTCGGTAATCATTCTTTTTGAAAGACTTAAAATAGCTTTTTCAATTACTTTTTTGGTCATTCAATTAACATTCTGTAGGTTATTCTTTTTCAGCATTCAAATAACATAGTTTAGTGATAGCTACTTATTCCAATTTTAGTTCGAATTAATTTTGTTTTCAAATTTGAAATCGTTCATAGAATATACACGTCCTTGAGGAATTCTAGTTAGAATTTCATTTAAGTTGCGGAATACAAAGGATTTTTTCATTTTTAGTGTTTTTACGTGAGTTTTTGTTTATGTTTTAAACAAAAACTCACGTAAAAACACTCTAAAACATAGTTTAATATCTAATGATTGATGCAGTGAAAACGCTATGCCCGTCCATTCTAAATTTTTCACTCCATAAGCCTATTCTATAATGGTGGCACTATCATTCGCTCCATTTTTTCCATTCATCTATTTTTCGGTCAAGTTGGTGAATTGATACTTTTGTTGTATGCTCGAAAGGACTGCCTCTTGAAGTTTTTAACCTTCAATTTGCTAAATTGAAAACGACTTGGATTTCAGAACGACTTAGCTTGCTCTGTAGACTTGCCTGCAGATGATGAAATTTAATCACTAGAGCAATAATCTGGCTGGGAATAAGTAAAAATGATTCCATTAGCTCAGGCTGATGTGTCAATGTCTTGATAAATATTTCCTGATATATGGATTTGTAAGCTCACTAGATGGTATTTGGAATGCAGTAAAATATAACAAAAACTAGTGGACTGATTTTTTTTTCAACGGAAAAGTGACACAATATTAGATCTATTTGCTCGTTTTTTTTTAAATTGATAATGTACATGATCTCGAAAACTTTTAGATTGGAGTAGTTTTTCAACATTGACATCTAAGGAATGTGTCAAGTTTCTCATTAGGAAAAAATACTTCTTTTTCCATTATTTCTCTAACAGAAACTAACTAAACTATCAACTTATGGTGTTCATTTTGTATGGCGTTTTCGGGTAACTTCAGCTACTAACTTAAAAATGATGCATTCAAAAAAATTGAGATTTGCTTTTTCCATTATTTTGCTTACAAAAAGTGGAATAATTTATCAACTTCGTTTTATGGCGTTTTATGATTATTTCAATGACTAATTTAAACCCTATACATTAACATTTAGATGTAATTGCTGCATGTATTTTGTTTTTTACTATAGCAGCGGCTGCCCTTTTTCAACTAAATCGGATGCACACTATAAATCTACAAGTGACTTTCGATTCATTGACTCTTTCGAGAAAACAGCCCACTCTTAAGAGTCTCAAAGCAACTATGGGAAGGTCCAGATCAACCCCAAGTAACCATCACTGTTTTCTGTCTGACCATAACTTACACCCACCAAAAATTGTAACACAGTTTGAGCTGAGCTTAGACAGGTTTATTTCCCATTTTTAAACATCAAATCGTCCACAAAAATTCGGTTGTCTCTAATAATAATGGTAATAATAATATTAATAATAATAATAAGATTGAATTAAACCCGCAAGGCGAGGATTAGTTGCTCTTAGTCATTGATAACAAAGTTAGTAAAATAAACTTAAAAATCATGACTCTGGATAAATCGAGTATGTAAATGTTTGTAGTTTGTCAAACAAAAACAGGTTCAAATCTTTATAAATATTACAAGTTCTTGAAAAAGATCATAGCCATTCAAATTGTTCGATCTCGCGGGGGTGTTTGACATTTCTGCGACACGGTAAAAAAAAACTGTCACAAATTTTGCTCCGTATTATCATTGGCATTCTCAAAAACGTCTTGTTTCCAGTTAAGTTTGAGTCAAGGTGCTTGCCGATTGTCCAAAAATTGATAAATTTATCGGCAACTCGTTATTGAGAATGTTATTCAGCAAAATTAAATCGTTTTTAAATAATGTCACTGAAATTGGCAACAGCTTGAGCTTGCTTTTATTCATTTAAAAAAATAAATCTGCTCAATCAATTCATGTTTTATGCATCATTTTAAGCACCGTCATTGAAATTTTTCTTTTCGCTTATATTGGTTTTTAGTCGCAAGCCAAACTGGAAATGCATAAAATTTTTTGATAGTATGCAAATTTTAAAAAACGAAACCCGAACAGAGCTACTCAGTGAGTTTGATGAAGATATTCTGATGTTATTGAATTGCATGCTTGCTTTTTTAAGCTTTTCGGTGATGTGGTTTGTCCATGACATTTTGAAATTTCTACACAAACCAAGATCTTTTACCGTGTCTTTTAAAACTATTTGTTTTCCATCAATCGATAAAAGATCGCTTAAAAGGTATCGCTTGTTTGATTTTTAAATTCTAAATTGTTCAAACTTGTAGAAATTGAAATCAATTCTGTTTTCTGCTGCCTAGGTAATTACATTGTTTAAATCTGTTTGAATCGAAGAAAGCTCAATTAAATTTCCAATATTTGTTGTATCGTCAGCATATAAAAAGGAAGGGTTGCCAAAAATTTCTGACATACCTCTTACAATAAAAGAAAACAAGAACACTGCAAAATCTGATCCCTGTGGACCACCAATCTTTATATTGCGGTAATGAGTAAAATACTAACTTTGAAGAAGAGCGCAATTTTCAACGACAATTTTGACGTTGTTTTTGCAAAAATTAGTCTGCGACGCAACAACATTGGTCAAAATAGAATTTTTATAGTATTCTGGGAGTGCTCGAAAAATCAATTCGATCGACCTTATAAAAAGGTCGACAAAAATTTCTACTTTTTTTGAAAATCCAACCTCCTCGCCCCTTCTTCTCGAGAATTTTCTAGAATCGCCCTGATCCCCCTATGTTACTTAATAATAATTTGCTAGCCTTGTAAATGGCTATTTCACGATTGTTTTGTTGGTTATTTTTAACATTGCATTTCCCTGAGGATGAAACGTGTTTTGCTAAATCAATCGATTGCCAGTTCAGAACAACTGTGTTTGAAAAAATGTGACATGAAATTTGATCTTTTGTTGCTGTGCAGATTTGCTGGGCAGCCAAAACGTGAAATCAAGTGACTGAACAAAACTTTTGCAACTGGATTTGCTTCTTGATGTTATAACAGTAACGCTTCGTATTAAATTTAAATTTAAGAGACTCACTAAGAAAAATTTTTTAAAAATGGAACAATAGTTTAATGAATAAGATCTTTTTAAAATGTTTTTGCTTCTTGATTTTGAATGGTTCCGCTTTAAGTTTTAGAGAGACTCACTACAAACTTTTTTTTGTGAACGGAACAAAAGTTTAACAAATTGGAGCTTTTTTAACATAACAGAAAAAAGATATTCGACTAGAATGAAAACATGAATTGCTTTAAATGGATAAAAAGTCATTAAGATATCTATGAAGACAGTACTACCCACAGCCTGATTCTTATGTTCAAGGCAACTCCTTTTTTACAATTCGAGGCTGATTTTCTTGTCGAGACTGATTTATTTCTACCGTGATAGACGAGGAAGAGCAAAGATGAGTAAAGGACTGTTATTTATCATCTCTTGGGTCCCAGACGTTGGGTCTCGAAAAAACGCAACATGGATCGCTTAAAGTCGCAACATGGTTCGTGCATAATTGCAACATGGGTTGCGCAAAGTTGCGACATAAGTCGTCCAAAGTTGCAACATGAGTCGCGCAAAATTGCATTATGAATCGCATTAGTCGCGCAAAGTTGCAACATGTGCCCCACAATTCACACCCTGAATCGGAAGTCAGAGCATGGGTCGCGCTAGGTCGCAGCATTTGTCGCAAAAATGTCTCAAGTTGATTTGGGGAAAACATGAGTAGCAATATGGGTCACACAAAGTTGCAATACGTGTCGCGCATCATAAAAAAATGAGCTATTTTAGCAACGGAAACTTTACTCGGATTTTTTTCCTCGCAAAATAGTTACACTGTTGCAAATCATTCCAGTATATCAGTATTTTAATGCGCTTTTAGCTGCGCCAATATGTTTGTTGATCATATACAGGTTCGCAGCGAGGCCTACACGTTGTACCAAAGTAAAATACAAGCTAGCTTTTGGGGGAAACTACAATTCGCCAACATAGATACAAAAAAGTTTTAAAAAATAACAATCATATCAAACGTTCACTAATCAAAATATACAAAAGTCATCAGTTGATTTTAATAATTAAAAAACATCTACTGTTGCCACTTATCTTGTAGTCAAATTTAGAAAATTTTGAAAAAATAGGTGCAATTCACTCGAATCTCATGTCTCAAAAAAATGCCACAGATAATCGGCTAGAGTTAAAATACATAATCTGAAAACTGTTTATGCTTGAGGAAAAAAGCTATCGGAGTTGACAAAAAATGCTAGCTATACAAATCCTATACAATTCGTTCCTCACATTGTTCATAAAATTCATGAAAGGTATGAAAAATCCGTGACTAGCATTCTTATATACTAATTGTATGACTATCATTGCGCCATAAAAAAACTGCATGGCCATAAAATGGAATAGTATGACTAGCCCTTTCATAAAAAGAAAATGTATTACTAGCATATTAAAGATACTTACGAAATCTTATCGAGCATTAGATGAGAATCTATGGACAAAGCTGTAATCGTGCAATCTCAAAAATGATAAGAAAACCTGAATAAACTACGAGCCCAAGCTTGTATTGGTCAAAATCAGTCGAAATAATTTTCTAAATTGAACACGTTTGAAACATTTTTTGTCAAACACAGTTAAATTGTTTTTTTTCTCGGTCGAAATTTTTTTCGGCCTGAGATTTTTTTCGATTTAGTTTGGGGTCGCGCTAAGTCGTGCAGAAGTTTCTGGTTGTAACTTTTTAATTTTTGAGTCGCACAAAGCCTGAACATATAATTTTGGGTCGCTTAAAGTCGCAACGTTTTTTTTTCGCACATTGTCGCACTATAGTTTTTTGGGTCACGTAAAGTTGCAGCATGTTTT